CTCGCAAAGAAAGCGGATCTTGGTGTATACGGGGTTTGGGTGCATACATTGTCCGTTCTTGCCACGGGGGAACGGGGAAACATGCATACACCACACCACCCCGACGTCGTCGCCGACCATCAGAATGTCTTGGGGAAAACAGCCCGCCACTGGTAATATATATATATATATATATATATATATATGCTCCACTTTCCGATTGAAACTTCCGACGGTATGGTATTGACCTACCGTGGCAATGACGGGCAATGGACAACGCGGGCTCAAGTCCGGAGAGGGAGCCTGAGAAACGGGTATCACGTCTAAGGAAGGCATCAGGCGTGCGAATTTCCCAATCCTGACACATGGAGGTAGCAACAACAAGTAACAATGCAGGGCACCATTGTCTTAGAATTGGCACCGAGTAGAAATAAAATCCCTTTGCGAGTACCTGGTACTGGTGCCAGCAGCCGCAGTAATTTCAGCTCGACCAGCGCATATACAAGTTGCTGAGATTAAGAGATCGTAGTTGGATTTCTGCTGAGGACGACCGGTCCGCCCTCTGGGACATTGTCTGGCTTAGCTTGGGCACCTTCTTGGAGAACGTAGCTGCACTTGACTGTGTGGCGCGGTATCCAGGACTTTCACCGGAGGACGAGGAGGCGGATGAGGAGGCGGAGGAGGAGGAGGAGGAGTAGGAAGATCAGGAGGAGGGGGAGGAGGAGGATTCAGAACGCTGCGAGCCCCGTGCTTGAAGTCCGATCAACGCCAAGAGGAGGAGGAAGAGGAGGAGGAGGATGAGGAGGAGAAGGGCCGGCAGAGCCGCACCTCATTGGCCAGGATCTCGTCCCCGTGCCGCAGGAGGCGCGTCACCGTGTGGAGCGCCGCCATGCCTGCCGCCAGAGGATGACGGCGACGACGGCGAGGGTGACGAGCACGACGACGACGGGCAGTAGGACGACGCCACCGCCGACGACGATGACGACGACAACCATGAGGAAGTCGACAACAACGACGACGGCAACAAGCACAAGCACAACGACGACGATTAGAAAGACGAAGGGCACCACGACGACGACGACGACGACGACGCCGCCGCCGCTGCCGACGACGACGACTAAGACAACAACAACGACGACGACGATGACGACAACGACGACGACGACGACGACGATGACGGCGGAGACGACGCGAAGGCGGCCTAGGTCCTTAGCTCTACGCGTGGACGTCACGTGCGCAAGGCTCCGAAATCCACCTCACAATCCCACATTCACCGTGTTCCCCCCCCCATCAAGAGTAGGGGAGGGCAGGGAAAACGGGATGTTGAGGAGGTGGAGGAGTTGTAGGAGGGTAGGGGAGGGTGAGGATGGAGGGGAAGAATGGAAAGGGTGGATGGAGGAGGGAGAGGGGGCATGATCAGGAGGGGAAGAAGGAGGAGGGGAGTACAGACGCACGGCAAGCGGATAACTTGATATAATCTGTTATGCTCTGGTCTAGTGTGATGCTCGGTCCTGTCTAGAATGTATGTTATTATGATCCGTGCTGGTCCTTTCTGCTATGTTTTGTTCCATTGTGGTTTGTTCGGGCCCTCTCTGTTCTTGTGGTCTCTGGTCTGGTATTACGTGGACACCCCTCAAGAACATGTCGGACACGATGGTGTCGACAGTTCGCGACTATTTCTCGTTATGTCCAGTGTTCCTTCCGATCGACAAGTCCAATTTGCACACCTGAGGGGAGATACAATGAGGTGCGAAAGTACACCACACACATGTTCGGTTCCAAGTCCTGGGTCATGCGAGGAGTGCATCATTTTTCGGAGCTATGCGGTAATACACGCAAGGAGTGCGACGGGCATGCCTCTTACAGTTTGAGAGTTGTGGTGGCTCCGAACGAGATGATTCGGACAGGACGTTCCAGAGATGTCTCTGAGGGCCCATCTGCCCCTCCTCATCCTCCCTTGCCCCCCTCCTCTCTCCTCCTCCTCCTCCTCCTCCTCGTCCGTTCCTCTCGGACATGGTGGGGTGCTTGAGATCCCATCGACAAGCTTGGGAACGGCACTGCCGTTGGTGGGCGATCAAGAAGACTGGACAGGAATCTAGTGTGACACATTCACGTTCCTCTTGGGGGGGGCGAGAGAGTGAGGGGGCCCAGGGACACACAAAGAAATAGGCACTAATCCCAGATTACCCTCATTTTCCTATATATATATATTATGGGTTTTCGTCTTCCACCACACTTCCCATATTTTCCCATGTTTTCTTGGGAATCGACGAATAATTGTGTCCGTGCCTTTTTCCCTCCCGCGCTAGGACCCACGTCACCTGCTGCAGCACTGGCACTCCTCTTCCACCTGCTCCTCCTCCTCTTCCTCCTCCTCCTCCTGCTCCTCCTCCTCCTCCTCTTCCTCCTCCTCCTCCTCCTCCTCCTCCTCCTCACCTCCTCCTCCTCCTCCTCCTCCCCCTCCTCCTCCTCCTCCTCCTCTCCTCCTCCTCCTCCTCCTCCTCCTCCTCCTCCTCCTCCTTCTCCTCCTCCTCCTCCTCCTCCTCCTCCTCCTCCTCCCAGGTGCTGGACGCGAACAGCCAGTGGAGGCCAGTTTAAGAGAAACTTTCCATAAGAAGCACAACCCTGAGACCGAAGGACGTTCACTGACTTTTGGTGGGAGCGTCGCGTACCCTGGAGGCAAACAGGGTGTTGCTTGGCTTGACATGGACCCCCATTCTAGCGCAGCCGCTGCAAGCGATGCAGACCGGCAGCGGTTCAGCGTCATAAGCCACAACGCCGGAACCAGCGCAGGGAAGAACGGCCAGCAGTGGATGTTGATGTTGGTAAGATGTTGGTTCCCCCTTCTCTCCCCCCCCAACCTCCTTATCACCCGAAGGGTGGTCGTATAGGTAAACACTGAATTGAAGATCTATAAGTATCTAAACGATAGGGGAGCGACTGGAGATTGAAGTGCAGACTTGAATGGTGAGAGTGCGACTGGTGATGCAGTTGAAGATTTAAATGTCTAGACCGTCAGTGCAGAAGTTAGTGATGATTTAAACTGTGAAAACGCTATTCGAAACTTCAACGGATATTTGAGTGATAGCGTACATGTAGATTTAGAGAGTGGGAGAGCGGATAAATAAAATGTGAGGGTGCGACAGAAAACAAGAGCGAATATTCGCGTGATGCTTCAAACGCGAAAGCGCGAGTGAAGATGCAAGTGACGATTTAAACGGTGAGAGTGCGACTGGAGATTCAAATGAATATCTAAGTGAAGACTTACGCTAATAGTCGAACGGTAAGATAGCGACGGGTGATGTAAGTGACGGCTTAAACGGTGAAAGTGCGACTAAAGATGTAAATGAAGGTCGAACTTCAGATCTAGGGTAGCATTGGGATGTTGACAGCGCGAGTAGAGTAGAGCTTGAAATGATGCGTGCGAGACTGAAGATGCTGCAGGAAAATAGCGCGATTGAATAGTAAGTTGAGTTGTCCGTGAAGCTGTCAGCAGTGAGAGTGCAAGCGACTACTTAAGTGAAAATGTAGCTCCAGCTTCAAGCAGGGAGCGTGCGAGTGAAGCTGCAGGTGACGAGTTAACAGAGGAATCGTGAATGGAGAGTTGGGTGCACATTTAACCAACGACATTCAAACAATGCAAGCACGTGAATATGTCGGTGAGGATGTGCACCGAGATCTATACTCATATGACAGGCTCGGAAGAAAAGTAAGGCGAACACCCACGGATTCTCGCGAAACAAGCTCAGATTAACACAACGGTGGTCGAGGGTCACCCCAACGACGGCGCCAAGGCATGGAACAAAGCAAAGAATTGAAATACATGATTTGATAGTGGGTCCGCGAAACCTGTACCATGCATGCCGTCCTAAGTGATTGTAGTCCAATTACAGGTTTATGAGAAGAAGAGCAGCGCTCCCCCCGCCCAGCATCCAGCGCTCCATGCTTTCACGGGCGGCCGCTAGTGCGGCCAAAGTTCAGTCCAAGGCTAAACCTCCTCGTCCTCCTCCTCATTCTCCTCCTCCTCTCTCCTCCCTCCGCCCCATCCACATCCTCCTCCCTCCCACCTTTCCCTCCCTCCATCCCTCCTCCTCCTCCTCCCCCTCCTCCGACTCCTCCAGCTCATCCTCCTCCTCCGCCCTCGCCATCCACAATCCCCACCCATCCCTCCCCCCCTCCACCGTCCTCCCCCCCTCCACCGCCGTCGCCGTGATGATCCTCCCGATGCCCACGAGCCGTACTCTCCCCGCTGCTGCCTCGCTGCCGCGGCGCCGTTCCAGGATCTGCAGGAGGAGGCACGGCGGAGAGGCACCAAGGGGAACACAAGACCGAGCTCGCGGATCTCCGCGCTCAGCGGTCCGACCCTTCCCCATCCACCTCCCTTCCTCCCTTGGATGCGGGAGAGATGAAGAACGAGGAGGAGGATAAAACGACGCGAAGATCGGGACAAAATCGGATCGGGATAACTCGAAATCTGAGAATCGGCGGGTTTGGAGGATGTATTGGGCGCCGCGGCCGTTCCAGAGCGTTCCGGAACGCTCTGAGAGCGCTCCAGAACGCTCTGGAGCGATTTATCCCGATCCTAGCCCTGTTTGAGAGGAGGAGGAGGAGGAGGAGGTTGAGGAGGAGGTTGAGGAGGAGGAGGAGGAGGAGGAGGAGTGCGATCTACGGTGGCTCCGGTCATCAGGAATCAAGGAAGCAGAGGAGGAAGAGAAGAGCCCCGCCAGCCATCGTGGGCGTAGATGGCTGGCCGAGCTCGATATTCCAGCACTCTTCTGCCCGACTCGGGGACGGTGGGGCTCTCCCCTTGACCCCCTTGCCCTGGGTCTGGAGGGGTAAGGGGGGGGCGAGGCGTTGGAGCGTCCAAGATAGGCCAACACGGCTCCAAGATGGGCCAAGGCTACTCCAAGGCTACTCCAATAGAGCCTCGGGTGGCCCAGCATGGCCTCCAGTATAGCCCATCATGCTCAAGGTGACCCCCAGTATGCCTCGAAGAAATTCACAGACTGCCACAAGAAGGCTTCAAGTGGCCGCGGAGCCTTCCAAGGATAGTCCGAGAGGCCAACAGTGTTCAATTTCCTCAGGTATGTAAATAATGTTTGATATATACAGTAGGGGCCCCTCCACAGGAAACTGCCCACAAGAAACCCAACCCTGAGACCCCAGGACGTCCATCCATGTTTGGTGCGGGAACGTCACGCGTTTCATCGCAAAACCATCCACTGTAGCCAACTTCCCTTCCGATGGACGCCGGAGGCATAAATAAAGATGATTCCAAGATGTCCCGAGAGGAGCCCCACGAGCGGCCCAGAAGTGTTCCGAGACTGTCCCGAGGGCCCCCTAAGAGCGCACCGGGGGCATCCCGAGAGGGCTGCAAGAGGCGACGCGTCGTGCTTCAGAGGGTTAGGGTTAGGTCGGGCCTGTCCCCCAACAGGCGGTTTTTAGTCGAAACATTATAAATATGCAAAAACATACACAAAGTACTCAACAAATAACCCAGCAAATCGTCACCGTACCTTTTTTTAACTATGTTTGAACACCCCTCCTGTAGAGGGACAGGCCCGACTTGAGGTGAATGAGCGCCGCTCCCTTTTGGTCGAGACCCTCCGAGACGGCCGAAAGATGGCTCGAAAGGCAGAGGCATTTGCGGTATTATGCGCAATGGCTCCTGTATCGTGCGCGGGCCCCGAGGGCCCTTTTCAGGCTACCTGAACACGCCCCTTGCGTCGTCGTCGTGTCTGGCGTCGCCTGTTTCCACTCCCACCCTCTTGCCTCTCCAACCTTCCTCCTCGTCCTTGCTCCTCCCCTCCTCCTCCTCCTCCTTCTTCTCCTCGTCCTCCTCCCGCCTCCTCCGAAGGCAGGCTCGGCAGTTCCACTCTTGAAACTGGTCTGGCCGATCCAGAGCTTCGGCCTGATGACTGCCTGTCCTCTTTGTTCCACTGTATGCCCCCACCCTTCTCTGTTCAGGGAAACTCGCCTGGCAATCGTTCGTGGGAATGCGTGAAGCGTCAAGAAAGAAGAGGAAGAGGACGAGGAGAAGGACAAGGAGAGCAGGAAGAGGAAGAGGGCTAGGATGAGAAAGAGGAGGGGAGGGAAGGGTGCGAACAACACGTGGAGGAAAGGAAGGGGGCGAACACGTAAAGGGGAGGGAAAGGGGAGAGAAAGGGGAGGAAGGGAAGACCGAGGAGGAGCAGAAAGAAAAGAAGAGGACACATGGCGCGAAAGGGAAAACGAGGGGACAGCGAGGACCACTGGGAAAGACAAGAGGGCACCGGGCGCCCGCATCCGGCGGCGGGCCCGCCGCGCGCGGGGCAACGGGCCTGACGCGAACGCGAAGGCCGCGGCCGCCTGCTCCAGCATCGCAACGTGCTTCTCGAGCGCGGTCCGCGTGGGGTTCCCCTCCCCTCGCGCCGGCGCCTCCCCTCCTCCTCCTCCTCCTCCTCCTCCTCCTCCTCCTCCTCCTCCTCCTCCTCCTCATCATCATCATCATCATCATCATCATCATCATCAGCATCAACATCCTCATCCTCATCCTCATCCTCATCATCAGCATCATCAGCATCAGCATCATCATCAGCATCAGCATCATCATCAGCGGCAGCATCCTCATCATGATCATCGTCATCAGATTCATCATCAACATCATCATCATCATCAACAACAACAACAACAACAACAACAACAACATCATCATCATCATCATCATCATCATCAGCATCATCATCATCATCATCATCATCATCATCATCATCATCAACATCAACATCAACATCAACATCGACATCATCATCACCATCATCATCATCATCATCATCATCAGCATCATCATCATCCTCATCCTCATCCTCATCCTCATCCTCATCCTCATCCCTCTCCTCATCCTCATGCTCATCCTCCTCATCCGCCTCCCCTCATCCTCCTCCTCCTCCTCCTCGTCCTCCTCCTACTCCTCCTCCACCTCCTCCTCCTCCTCCTCCTCCTCCTCCTCCTCCTCATCATCATCATCATCATCATCATCATCATCATCATCATCATCATCATCATCATCATCATCATCATCATCATCATCATCATCGCCTCCTCCTCCTCATCCGCCTCCGCCTCCTCCTTCTCCTCCTTCTCCTCCTCCTCCTCCTCATCATCATCATCCTCATCATCATCATCAGCAGCATCAGCATCATTATCCTCATCCTCCTCATCCTCATCATCAGCATCATCAGCATCAGCATCATCATCAGTATCAGCATAATCATCAGCGGCAGCATCCTCATCATGATCATCGTCATCAGAGTCATCATCATCATCATCATCATCATCATCATCATCATAATCATCATCATAATCATCATCATCGTTATCATCATCACCATCATCATCATCATCAGCAGCAGCATCGTCATCGGCATCAGCATCATCAGCATCAGCAGCAGCATGATCCTCCTCCTCATCATCATCAGAAGCATCATCATAATCATCAGCATCATCAGCATCATCAGCATCATCAGCAGCATCATCATCCTCATCATCAGGAGCATCTTCATCATCAGCACCTTCATCATCATCATCATCATCATCATCATCATCATCGTCATCATCAGCATCACCATCACCATCATCATCATCATCACCATCATCATAATCATCATAATCAGCAGCATCATTATCGTCAGCAGCACCAGCATCAACACCACCATCGTCATCAGCATCATCATAATAATGATCAGCATCATCATCACAATCGTCATCAGCATCATTATCTTCAGTATCAACATCGCCATCCTCATCATCATCAGCAGCATCATCCTCATCATCCGCATCGTCATCGTCATCGCCATCGTCATAGTCATCGGCATCGTCATCGCCATCGCCATCGCCATTGTCATCAGCATCATCAGCATCATCAGAATCGCCATCACAAGCTGCAGCATTTATCAGAAGCATCATCATCAGCATCGTCCGAATCATTATCAGCATCATCGTCATCATCATAATAATAATCATCAGCATCCTCATCATCAGCATCACCAGCATCATCAGAATCAGCATCAGCATCATCATCATCATCAGCAGCATCATGGCATCATGAGTATCATCATAATAATCAGCAGCATCCTCAACCACATCAGCATCGTCACAATAAGTATCAGCATCACCATCAATCAGCATCACTATCTCTCCTCATCCTCATCATCCTATTCAAGCACACGCCTTATCCAGACCTCGGAGATGCAGACACCTGTGGGGCGCATCAGGTAAAGAAAGGCTGAATCGCAATCCGCCTAGCAAGTGTGCCGTTTGGTTAAGCCATTTGGCCGTCGAGGGAAATCTCGTATTCCTACTCAACATGAACCTCCTCCTCCTCCTCATACTGCTCCCCTCCTCCTCCTCCTTATCCTTCTCCTCCTCCTCCTCCTCCTCCTCCTCCTCCTCCGCCTACTGCCTCTGTCCACCAACTGTCCACCCACGTCCACTGCCCCAAACCGAGCGCGTGTAGTCGTACGCCCCGAACTCGTTGGCGGACGGCTGCACGAACCTGCCACGCGGCACTCCTCGTGCTACGCTGCCGCCTCACGAACCGACTCCGACACCGCTTCCTCCTCCCCTCCCTCCTCCACCCCATCCTCCTCGTCCTCCTCCTCTTCCTCCTCTCCTCTCCTCCCTCTCCTCCTCCTCCTCCTCCTCCTCCTCCTCCTCCTCCTCCTCCCTCCTCCTCCTCCCCTCCTCCTCCTCCCTCCTCCCTCCTCTCCTCCTGCTCCTCCCTCTCCTCCTCCTCTCCTCCTCCTCTCCTCCTCCTCCTCCTCCTCCTCCTCCTCCTCCTCCTCCTCCTCCTCCTCCTCTCGAGGTCCATGGCCACGCCGAAGATGCACGTGTTATGCCTACTGGAGCCCCGCCGTCAGCCCCAACTGTTTTGGATTCGGAACTCCCGAGCTCCCCGCTTTCCCCGAACTTCCTGTCTATAAAAAATGCTACCAACTGCGGAAAGCCAAATGATTTGACTGCTGGATCCGAACCTGGTGGGGCGACAATGCCTCCCGTTGTCTCCCGTTGCCTCCCGCGGCGTCGTCTCCCGTTCCCCCGACGTCTGCCGGTGTTTCCCGATGCCTCATACCCCAAGAGCGAAGAAGAAAAAAAACATGAAAATGGATGCGATGGCAAAGTGCCTTTAACTAAACGGCCGCGGTTAAGGGGAGACAATTAATGGGCAAACGAAGGGTTCGTAGGCTACCGTTCGAGTCTGCAGCTCAAACGAGTCTGCCTGTGCCCCGTCGGCTACAGCGCGCAAGCCAAACCGCAACCAACGAGGCCTCATAAACAGTTGCAGCAGCATGGGTGGATCCCGTTTCGGCACGCTCCGGAAGTTGCCAGACTTCGCGGCGTCCCAAGACACTTTGGCCCCCAATGTGCCAACCGCCCAGAAAACTTCTACGGCACCCCAGGAAGGACGCCAATTACTGCCAGCAGGGCTCGTAAAGCAAGCCGAGGCAGAATGGCGCATCCCGCGACAGCATATACAACAGGAGGCGAGGCTGCACAAGGACCTTCTACTGAGCAGGTCCCTCATAACAAGCTGCCGAAGGAACGAGGAGAGCAGACAACTGGAGGAGCACAGTAAAACGATTGACGTGCTGCATACTGGCTCACTAAGTCGCGCTTGCAACCATGACTCGCCTTACGCAGGCAATATGTAATGTGCCCTGCTACGTCGCATTCGAGAACACAGTTCGCGACATGCGGCTGTCGCTGCCTCTTCCTATATCTCATTCGCGAACACAGCCCGCGACATGCGACCGCACATGTTACGCTCTGCAGCCGAAGTATATATAGCGAAACTGCCCGATGTTTATCCCATCGGCGAAAAGTTCTCCGCGTACGTCCTGAGGTCGCTGTGGCGGGAGCTGGGCACGGTCTTCTTGTGCCTCTCGTCGCTCGGTCTGACAGCGGCGCGGACGTACCTGAGCTCCCCGCACGTCGCGTCCAGTATCAGCTCCCGGCCGATGCTCCACTTCGTCATGGGGGCGGC